ACTAGCTGCCCGTCTGGCGAGAAGGCCACCGCGCTGACATTGGAGGAATGGCCCTCGAGCGTGCTGCGACACGTGTCCCAGTCTGCTTCTTGCATAGACAGCATCTTGGCCTCTTCTAGCACTTAGTCTACAAAGTTTTGTCGTGTCACGCTCCTCTGTAGCACGAAGCGCTTACCGTCGTAAAGAAAGTTTGAACTTAACTCGTAGATAGCCACATGACATGTTTATAGAGTAGCAGCAAGGCGTCTTATAGAGATCTTGCGCCTCGACAGCCTGGAAGATGGCGGTTCGCGAGAGGCCTTGCTGTACGGATTGTCGAGTTAGCGTGCTTGATTGTGGCGATGAGGAGGCCGTGATTCACGACGGCGGACGCGCCTCAACACTCTGGTTCATATAGTTTTTGCTTTGCAGGGAGAGGTCCTGATGCATCGTGACTCCGGCGTTGGAGCCAAAGGCTTCTTCATCGCACACGACGCAGTAGCACTTGGTCATCAAGACAAGCTTGCGTAGCGGAATCTGATACAGACGCATGGCTTCGGCTATGATGCGTTCAGACTCGCCGTTGGAATAGACATTGGCCGTATCCCACTATACATGCAGGAGGGAGTGAAGGCGTCTTACAAGAATGAATCGAAGCCACTGTGCGTAGATGGGAACAGCGCGGACTCGCCGTGGCAGCTCAGTCCATGGGCGCTTTCTGCTCCACGACGATTGTGAGACTGGCCGAGCAAGAGTGGTCCAGCCAGGCGTCTACCCCTTGGGCCCGCCACGGCTGGCCAGAGTGGTAGTGCCGCCATGTACAAGTCGGGCCCGACATTGGCGCGGTCGAGTGTAGTACACCAAGTATGTACACATACGGTGGGTAGACTGTACCCGCTAATAGTACTACTACGCAACCGGGCATTTCTCAGCACGCGAGTCTCAGCCTTGCGCCCATGCGTCAAGCCGCTCGACTAGTACACGCAACACTCTCACGCCATCTCGAGACGAAACGCCCATCGGACAGCATCATGGCTTGGAGACGTCCAAGTGCACATGAACAGCCATCTAGATACGTAGACTCGTATCAATCAGCAACACATCACTTTCCACACACAGCTTCTACGAATAGCTGCTCAGGGCACACACGGCCAGTCTCCCGTGTCGGTACAACGAAACTTTGCTTTCCAGGAACAGATAGTAGGTGTTTCACTACCAGGCAATCTTGTGAGTGACGCGCTAGCTGTATTGCTCAATTATCTATATTGCAGTCTAATGCCAAGCAACGCACAATGAATACACCAAAATTAACAGATGAACACATCAATGGACAAGACCAAAATATTCCCCCACTCTCCTATAGCTGGAACCCACCCGGCGGCCCAAAGAAGAGGAACATGTTGTCTGGGTCATATTCGCACTTTAACCCTGGTAACCTTGCAATTTGCTGCTCAGATCCATACAGTTCTACAAACGTCTCATTACCGAATGCGTAGTTGACGTACGTCCGCATCTCGTCGTGGCTCGACGTTCGCTGAAGAATGTCCCGAATGTCGGAGCTGGGCTTCTCTGCAGCTTAGTCTAGTGTCTTGTCGGACTTGTAGCAGATGACGGAAGTCCTGCGTTCATGGTTAGTTTTCCCGTGCCCATTTCGTGTGCCAAGCAGCCTTGGCGACAAGGGGCAACTTACAAGAGAATCTGGTCGTTTCTCCACGACATGGCGGTCGAATCTACAGGTGTCTTGCTCACACCTTCAATGGAGAAACCATCAAAAAGCACTGCGGGTCCACTGGATGCCGGAATGGCGACAGCGGTCGCGTTGAACAGCTTGTACGGACCCAGCCAGGCGAGAGGGCGACGCTGGTCAGCCACTTATTCTCAAGATGGAGCTGGGATGCGGTATAATCGACAGCAGTCTTGGTGACACCATAGCAGAACCAGGGGCCGGCGAACTCTCGGCTCTTTGCAAAGCTGGCAACGCCTGATCCGACAAAAATCATCTTGGGGCCCTTTGGGTCCTTGGCCTGCTGTAGGAGCGGCACTGCGGCCTTGACGAGGGCAAATACACCGTAGAAGTTGACTTGCATGTGCCTCTTGATGTCGTTGAAGTCGATGTCCAGGGGCGGCTTGTTGACATCGCCAATGCCAGCATTGGCAATGACACGGTCAATATATTCTACACCGTCCGACCTGAGTAACTCAATGGCACTGGCGGGGTCATTATCGACCGCAGAATCAAGTTTGACTAGTTTTACTTGGGAGCCCTTGCCCTTGGGGAGAGAAAGAAGGCGCTGTGATATATTGGAGGAGGGGTCTCGGACACACGCAATCACAATGTTGTTTGGCCGGGCTACAATGGCCTCAAGAAAGCTGCGCCCAATACCTGTGAGGTTGAAGATTAAAATACGGGGCTTTTGCTCGCACTATTCACAGAAACTTACCAGGTTTGGGCGAGTGATTAGAGTGACGGTAGCAGATGATGCAGCGGCCATGTTGCTAGGTGGTAGCCTTAACAGCCAATCAGGTGAGACTGAAGGATTCAAAACGTCTGGGCGAGTGTCTGTGATAATAGAATAGAGCGTTTGGCCCCGAGACATGGGCGGTTGGTCTGGTTTAGTACCTCGTGCCAAGGGCAGCATCAAGCAGCACAACAGCAAGCTCAAGGCGCCAGCCTGAGCCGCAAGGGTACAGCGATTGATGATGCCAACTTGCCTTGGCAATTTGAACGAATGTCGCGTATTGTGAGGCACGGTTCTCGACAAGCAAATCAAACCAAGCCATGTCTTTCACGCCGTAGAGTCGAGGAAGCAGTCAACAGCGGGGAATTCGTCCAGCGATAGCCACTTGGATCGTTATTGGACGAGCCAAGGGGGATGTCAGACGTTACTACTGCGCCGCTAGCGGACTAGTGTGAAGGATGCTCGGCCGTAGCATTGCCTGGGAGTGCTAATTGAGATGGCAAAGGCCAAGGCGTCGGCTGGAGAGGGCGCTGCAACGCAAAGGCAATTGGCAAATTATACTCACTTATACTGTGAACTAGAGAAGGAAACTTGACAGCAAGTTAACGCCCAAGCCACGTAGCGGAAGGACTCTTGACGTGGATCCTATTCACCAACTTCCCCCTAGAGCAGACATTACGAGCAGCCGTGTACGTACTTGTTGTGTTGTCCAAGAAGGGCGATGAGGCTAAATTATGTTTCGATGCTCACGCCTTAATACAGCAGCACCCACTCCCACATCGTCTCATCACGGGTACGGCTGACGTTACACCACCAACACCACTGCAATCATCTCAGGCCATTTCAGATGCCGATGCATCAGCATCGACACTCATCCGTACCGCATGTACTCTTCTAGCCACCCGCTATACTAATGTGGATGAAGCTGTCTTTGGTGTTGGCGGCGTTGCCACACAGCGCCGGCAATGGCTGCCGCTGAAGGTCCCAGTGACGAACAGCCAGACGATAAGTGACTATCTAGCTGCCATACTCCAACAGGCTATCGACATGGTGTCATATGCACACATTAGCCTCGACTAAATTGCCTCTCTGAGCGCTGATGCCAGTTATGCCTGCACCCCATGACACTCCTTATGCACCTGAGCTACAATACCTCCTCGAACAAGACAGGTTGCGTGTCGTAGCCAGCTTTAACTCGAGCGTAGTAGAGCCGTGGCTGGTAGAGAAGATGCTTGCCCAGTTCGATCATGCCATGCAGCAGCTGACTGCCGCTGACAAGGACACCGCCGTGGGACATGTCAATCTGCTGACTCCGGTCGACTCCAAACAGCTTTGGGAGTGGAATCACGAGGTTCCAGTACCGGTAGAGCGCTGCATTCACGGCGTCTTTGCCGACCCGGCGCGCACCCGCCCAGAAGCGTTAGCCATCTATGCCTGGGACGGAGAGCTTACATATGGCGAGCTGGATTCTCTGTCTAATCGACTGGCTCACTACCTGGTTGATCAAGGTGTTATTCCTGAAATGGTCGTCCCGCTATACTTTGAGAAATCCATGTGGACTACTGTCGCGATACTAGCAGTCCTCAAGGCTGGCGGCGCCTTTTTGCTGCTCGACCCGCTTCTGCGCGCTGTCCGTCTGGCAATGCTCTGCTCCAAGGTCCATGCCACGGTTGCAGTCGCCTCGCGGTCCTGCCACACTGCACTCCACGCCCTGCAGGTTGTTTCGACTGCTCTTGTGCTGAACAGTGAATCTGTGGTCCAACTTCCTCTTTCTACTTGCCCTCCACATGTTGCAGTACATCCTCATCACACAGTCTATGTAGTCTTCACTTCAGGTAGCACTGGTGAGCCCAAAGCCTGCAGGATGGAACACAGGTCCTCCTGCTCGACCGTCGTCACTCATGTGCCTGCATTGGGAATCAATCGCAATACCCGAACACTCCAATTCACAGCCTACAGCTTTGCTGGATCTCTTGCTGAGACATTATTGGCTTTAGTTACCGGAGGTTGTGTTTGCGTTCCCTCAGAACAACAACGTCGGGAAGGTTTTGCGCAAGCAATTGTGAAGCTGAGTGCCAACTGGTCATTCATGACTTCTACAATCCTCAGCACCATCAACATAGCTTCCGTTCCAACTCTTCGAACCATTTGTGTCGGTGATGAAACAATCAGAATATTTCAAATCAGCCAATGGGCGACACATTTGCACCTCCGCCAGACCTACGGGAGCACCGAGACGTCTGGCATGATGGGGTCTGCGAGGCTTCACCCAAGTTCGACCACAAGGGATGAGGGGAAAGCCGCAACTGGAAGATACTAGATCGTCTCATTGGGTGATTGTAATAAGCTCGCTCCCCTTGGCGCGACTGGTGAAATCCGTGTCGAGGGTCCGACCATTGGGCGTGAGTACATCAACGAGCCCAAAGGCACTGCAGCTGCCTTCGTCCAAACCCCGTCCTGGCGTTTCATTTTTGGGGCGGCAACGGACATTATGAGATTCTACAAGACTGGAGATTCAGGCCATTATCAAGCAGATGGAACACTGCAGTTGCTGGGGCGAAAGGATACTCAGGTCAAACTTCACGGCCAGCGGATTGAACTTGTGGAGATTGAGCATCAGGCCTGACTCGCCTGCGGGCCTGCAAAGGAAATCGTAGTTGAGCTGGCAAAGCCGTGTGACAGCAGCGGAGTCGAGATGCCTATGTTAGCTTGTTTCGTTGTAGCTGATTAGGTTAATGGCCATAACTCTAGCGCTACTGTCCAGGCGGCGGCGCATGCCATTTGAACTATACTAGAGACTACGCTTCCGCATGATATTGTGCTAAGTGTCTTTTTGCTACTGAAAGCGTTGCCTATAATTGGTTCTCGCAAGACAGACCGGCGGCAGTTACAGTTGATGGGTGCCCAGTAGACAGCGCAGGAGCTGGCAGCGTTGCGAACTGTAGGTCAGGGAAAGAGGCAAGCGCCACGTACAAAGGGCGAGAAGCAGCTACAAAATCTTTGGGCTGAGGTGCTTGATCTTCCATCTCACAGTATCGGGCGCGATGACGGCTTTTTTCAGCTCGGCGGCGACTCCATGGTAGCAATGCGCCTGGTCGGCGCAGCTGGGCGGGATGGTGCCGGCTTGACGATGGCTCATGTTTTCAATAACCCGAAATTGAGTGATCTTGCTGTATCTTGGGCTAATGAAGACTCTGCCATGCTGGTGAACGAGATGCCGGCCGCTCAGCCATTTTCTTGTCTCTGCCCTGGCTAAAAGGAAAATCTACACAGTCAGCTGGATACCGTTCACCCGGAAACCCTCTCGGATATGCTTCCTCTTACAAGCTTCCAGAACGACTGGGTTTCGACCATCACGGCTCAAAGTCCTGCCCACACAGTGCACTACTCTTGGCTTGAGCTCAGTCATCAAGTCACTTCCGCCGATGTTACTCGCACGTGTAAGGCCTTGTTGGATCGTTACCCGATCATGCGCTTGGTCTTCTTGTATCTTCAACAAGAGTGGTGGCAAGTCGTTCTGCGACCGAACGATTTCGACACGCCCTTCCAGACTGTTAGACTTGAAGCGGAATTCAAGGCGGTTTGCGAACGTGACACAGAAACACTGAAGCAGGACCAGTGCCCGACATGTTTCATTCTCGACCAGCATGAGTCAGACAGACGTTGAATAGTGATAAGGCTATCCCATACCCAGTATGACGGAACGAGCATTGCGATCTTATTAAAGACTTTTGCAGATTTGTATCACCCAGTCAAGGTACCTGTTGGTCTTACATTTGCCACCTATTTGTTATATAGCTAGTTGGTGAGAAACACCTTGATAAGCTACTGGAAGACACTCCTCTAGGGATCGCAGCTTACAGTCGCCTCCCTCAACGCATCTGGCACGAGCACCGTGCGGGTTAGGATGTCTATTCCCGCCCCTCAGCTATTAGGAAACATCACTATAGCTTTACTTCTTAGTGCCGCTTAGGCTATACTACTATACAATCTAATAGGCAAATTAAACGTTGTGTTTGGGCACGTAGTTGCTGGTCGCAATGCTAAGCTGTTTAGAGTAGAGTCTTTGTATGTGCCATACATCGACCTAATACCTGTCCGCGCCTAGCTTCCCGCTGGTTAAAGCCTGTCGCAGCTGTTGCAATCTATTCACAAACAGTTTATTAGTCTAGGCGAAACTGACTCGCTTGGCTAAAAGGAGATCTTTAAGAACTGTACTAATTAGCCTGCTGGGTCATGCTATAATTCTGTTATTTAACACTAGAATCTCGAAGAGCGTCCTAAAATCGTCCTTAACGGATAGTAAGGCCGCCTCGGCTAGGTAGAAAACCCATATAGTTTCATAGAGCTCCTATTGTTGCACATGATTACGTACCATAGCGGCGATTACTTGACATTCCAGTTGACCTCCAATATCGCATCGATGACGGAAGATAAAATGCGGGCTCTCTTGCAGCAATTGTTTCCAATGATACGATTGATCGCGGATCATTACCGGCGGCAGTCTGAGAACATGAACGGCTCCTTCAGATTAGCGCCGAAACCATACACAGTAGGTCACTGATATGTTCTCTTACACTCGTTCATCGTAGAAAAGCCATGGTTAATGTAAATGCAACTTTTTTCTAGAACACAATGACCTAAGTCTTCTTGGAGACTATGTCCAGATCTTCCATAGCCCATTTATTCTTGTACTATAGCTTCACTCTTTGCTCGACTTTTACTACAGCAATTAATACTTTTTTCAAGATCAATTTGCTGATGTTTTTATATACCCCTCGGGCAATGTAAGATTAAACGAAAATCCATCACGCAGTAAGGCTGAACAAAACAGATAAAAACAGTGCTAAAGTGCGTCCCCAGGAGAAGAGATATTCCCATAATGTGAGGCAGCATTAGGGTTTGGGCCGTCTATGCCTTCATTCTGAGAGTTTGTACATCTGTTATTACAAAACTCGCTTCAGATGAATGTCAATTGTAACCAATCAGTCATCACTTGAACGAACAAGACATGTATAGCGTAGAAAAAAAATTCATTTGGGTTTTTAGTGTATAGTCTAGGGTACTCTAAGAGTCTGAATTAAAAGGAAATAGAATATAGAGATAGTAGGAAGAGGATGAAGCTCTGGATACAAGGACAAACGTTGTAATCAGAGACCTGTTCTTTACCACTACCATAAGTAATATCATGATCTACATACTAAACAACATGTCGCTGTAGTAGCGGTAGTATGTATTTAGATGTGGATCGGGTTGCAGGCGATGTTGACAACACCCTTTAATGTTCATGTTAGCAAAAATGAAAAAACGATGCTGGAAAGATTTTCTTACCGTCTGCTCAGTCTTGTTGCAGCAAACTGCCTGCTGAGAGCACATCCTGTTGAGAGGAACAAGGTTGCGGAAAATAGCAACAGTGACATCGTTGCACTGTCCAAGAAGGTTCTGCAGGTCGGCAACGTCGGCATCGATGGGAAAAACGGACTTTGGATTGGTTGCCTTCTCGGCGGTCTCGTTGTTGCAGCAGTAGACTTCGGCGTCGCCACCACACTGGTTTTTGATGGCCTCTGCGTCGTTCTTGTGGGTGGGGTTCTGCGGGGCAGCGGCGGCGACAGCCACGAGAGTGAGGAAGATAACCTTGGCGAGCATCTTGAAAGTAATTCAACGAGTTGGTATTGGAGGAAAGACAAAACCGAAAAAAATTGTAGTATGAAGATGAGTACGAAAGTGGTTGTGGTAGTGTTTGTGGTTGTGATTGATGAAGAAGCTGATGATGGGATGTTCATGTTTAGGTAGCGGGAACTGGAGATTTATATATGCGATCAAGAGAAGACAGATCCAGATCAGATAGGACACGATCGACTGATGGGACTCAGGAGGTTCCATTCAAGCGGACGCTAGTCCGCAAAGCTACAGTACAGCATAAAAGCACAAACCAAACAACACAAGGCAAAGGGACATTAACCAAGGGTTCAGGACCGAGCGTGCTCTAGGTGTTCTTGGGGCCTGTGCATCATGAAAAACATACGTTTTAGCTAGTAGAATCGGCTAAGCCATGGACATGGTTGACAACGTTTCCAGGACACACAAGGAATGAAATACTATTGACACACACCCCGCTCTGGATTTGTTCACCTCATGTGACACATGACTAGGCGTTCAAAAGGCACACTGTCTTCGATGGCTAACCATAGTACAAGTTCGGAAACGCGACCTAGTAAAGGAACATTGTAACGAGAGGTTAATCATTGTCTTTCCGCGGTGGATTGATCACGATCTACGCTAGCGAGCGCTATGGCTCTTTAACTGCTACGTATTCACAACTTGCACCTAATTGGGACACACCGGTAAGCCTAAACCCCATTCAGCATCACGCCAAGCTTTGTACGAAAGCTCGACCACGCCACGAGAAAAGAAAGTACTCAACAGAGCGTTGAACCTGATCACCAAAACGTCGGTTCCCGTACGCATTAGGATGTTGGGGTAGACGGTGTGCGTCATGGGAATCTGTGCAGGCCTGTACCGAGTACGTACCACTTCTCAACAGTATCATCGACACGCCTGCGCTGCTATCACGCATTCGGAATTCAAGCGGCTCCTCCTGCAGGGGTGCTATCCAGGTAATCTGCTTTCGAACCGGTCAAATGGGAAAAGCACACTTTGAATTTGAAAGTATTCTGTCACTGGTTAGTTTACGCTCTGTCGCCATTGTCGGGTTCGCTCATGGCTGTTAGCCATTTGCAGTCCAGCCTTAGCCACGATCACACACGCGCCACTACTGTAGCAACTTTGGGAAACAGCATTGCCGTACAACCTACACAATGCCACAATGCCTTGCACTTACAAAATCAAATGTATATATGCGCTTTCAGACTGGTCGCCATGCCGGGAACAGGAGCTAGCCGGGTTTCCAGAAATAAAAAGCAGACGAAAAGCAATGCCGATAAAAAAGAAGCAATCAACAGGCGAACAGAACACAGGAAATAAGCACAATGCATTAGCGCAGTCAATTACCGGCTTCGGCCCGATAGCAAAGTCCTTTGCTTGGGTATCACGATGCAGCTTGTAGCCACGATATTGCTGCCATTCCTAACATGGAAAATGTCCCTAGAAGCAAATCTGGAGCACAGAAATGATGAAGACTCCTTCAAAGCTCCAAAATCTGCTACAGTTTGGCTATTATGGTGGTACTCACTGTTTCATCTCCTCGGGATCTGGAAGCAAACGCCATAATACGGCAAAGCCCTTCTCCCTCTTGAACCTGGCTTATATTCTTCAGTTCCGCTCCCCGGAGATTCATCCAAGTGTGTGTATCCTATGCTCACCGATTGGATCCGAAGAAGTAATGAAATGCAATGTAGCAAAAGTACAAACTGATTGGCCGCGGAGGTAATATCCGACAGCTGTTGGCGAACAAGAAAAAACCGATAAGGAATGGGAAAAGCTGAGACATGAGGTGCCCAAAAACATTAGACTGCATGATAAGATGGAGTCGACCTTCGCTTACGTCGCTTCTTATCGACCTAAAGTGGACATGACGATCGTGAAACGAGTCTTCAGTCATTGATCCTGCTATACGTTTGAACAGCAAGAATAACGAAAACGATTGTACCTTCAAAGAACAAGCAGAACAACGAGTGTCTTGAAAGCACATGGACGCAAGTAGAAGGCAGAAGTGCAGCCAGCGGTGCAGCGATACGTGCACAACGAGTTGGCTGAAGCAAGCAAAAGTGGAGCCTAACGCGCTTGCTAAATACGCATCTAACGACAGGCCGACATACAGCAAGCCGGAAATGTTGTCGAGTAGGTTGGCAGCCGGCTTCGTGCCGCTCATGGTTAAGCATGAAGAGGTAGTGCGACTGTGGTTTGAGAGAATGACGTAGTTGGTGTTAGCTATGTTGGTTGTGCTCAAGGTTGTTGGAGTGCTTGTAGTACTGCTCAACTGTCAGCTCTCTGCACTTTCCCAAGGGCTGTGTCTATGCTGTTCTTACGTTGGGAAGTACCGACATGTGATGGTATGTCTCGAGATGATGAGCTTTGCGAAGACAGCAAGTCAATGCTGCGGGCTTGGACAGCAAGCCGAGCAGTGTCTTGATGAGCAACAGATGTGGGATAGCAGAGTGCTCTGTCTGCTGCAAGTGTTGCCTTTGCAGCCATGTTTGATCTTATGATGTAGTAATGGAGAGATGGAGAGATGGGTGGCAGGGCTGCCTAGCCCATCACGTGCACCCATGACTCGTGCACTCTGGTATGCTAGCAGCTAGTACTGATTGCCTCACCGCGCGTCATTGGCAGCCACGCCTCAGCTTACACTGATCTGCCGCATGTATGCGCGCAGCACGCCTCACACCTGACTTTGGGAGACACAGCCCACTGTTGCTCGGCTGCCTTGTAGTCACAGCACGCCTGCTGCACGACAGCTCCTTTTATCTCATAACTAACTCATCCCCTAACTACAGCCTGGTGCAATTCATAATGGGCCGATGGACCGACATGGACAGTGTAAGCCACTAACAAGCCCCTCGAGCATTCCACTGTCGCCCCGCAACTGACAATAAAACAGGACGCCGAGCGCCTCCCCTGTGGCTTTGAGCGCATAGGCTACGATGCCGACACGCAAACCTACACCTTTCGTGACGCAGACGGTACCATATACGAGTCGGAGCCTGGAAATCGTTACGGCGAAATGCATCGTGTCGACTCGCGATCGTCATCGCAATCTTCGCGGTCCGCGTCCATCCACCTTCTCGACAACCGCAACGGGCGGCCCTCGCGCACTTTTGACGAAATATTCAACCATCATCAAGACGCGATAAGCAAGGACAGTAGGGATGCGGTGCGTATGATGTTGCCATTCGCGCTCATCGTCTTGGTCTTTTTGATCCTGGTGTTCAAACTCTTGTATACAGGTGATGCCGCGTCGCTAACTCCTGCCAAAGAGTCACTCGATTGTCGTCAAGGCAGTCATGAAATTCAGATTAAACAAGGAGATACGTGCTGGGCTATTGCCCAAACTAGCCACATCACTGTGGAAGAATTGCTAGAGTTGCAGGGCAACTCGCATGTGGATTGCGATCGATTGGCGCCAGCCAAGGGCATTTGCGTACCTGCGTGAAGAGATGGTGTTGCGGCAAATCTTTCTTAACTTGTACAGTCTTGTTGCATTAGGGCCAATAAAAAACAGAGTCAATAACAGGGTGACTAAGCTGATACATCTGTACGTGTGCACCGGATACGCTTTGTAGTGGCAATGCCCATGATGAACGAATGCTAAAAGCATTGACATCGTTCACAAAACTTGCAATAGCATGTGCACATCTCGAATTCAATGTAGCGCAAACTCATGCTGCTATGCTTACTCAAAGGCGTGACCCCACCTCATTGTGCAGCTGAGGATACTTAGATGGAACGCCACACTTGGGTCCTAATCAGGCGTCCAGCACAGCCACTGGCACCCTGTATCTCAACATAAGGTGACCTAGCCTCCTCACCGGTCGTCACATCAACCCAGCTACTTACATTCCCCCCCTCGCTGCTTGTATCGCGTTCGTAGCAACGCAAAAGACTCAACAAGAGATACATTGCAATTTTACCATATTGGAGCGTCATCTTAAGATGCTGCCACCAAAAGGGAAGAACAAAGCAGCTAGCATATGGTCCGTTGACTCGGGCTATGCATCAAATACTTTAGACGAAGAAGATGCTAGCTATGTACTTATTCCAGAGTCGACATATTCCCACCAAGCTGTTGCTGACACTACTAGATGAACTTTGTCACGAGCCCCGCAATCAGCAAACCATTATCATCCTCATCTCAGAAAAGCTTCAACTTGGAATTTGGTGATTTCTTCAAGGTCCATGTTGAAGATCAGCTCCGCCTGCCAAAACCGGACTCTCCATCGGCTCCAGTGACTACCAAGCTGAATGTGTATACGACAAATGTGAGAGCAAGCCACGATCTCCAATCACATGCGGCTGGCGTCAATGATGAGTGCGTTTTATGCGCACTTTGGGACATTACCAATCCCGGAGAAAATCTAAAATGCGATAAATGTAGTCAAAACCCGACAGCCAAGTTCGGTGCTACTGGATCATCAGGACTTCTGCAAAGTTCAGAAGCCAAACAAGAATCGATGCACATTGTAACCCAAGTGGAGAAATTTAGCGCATTGCAACTACATAATCTACCCAACAAAGCCGAGGAAGGGCAACATTCAACATGTAGTATCTCGGATTCTACTGTTTACGACCAGACCACCACACCTTCTTCCTACAGTCCCGATATAGGCACTTCTTTCCCTGGATCTCTAAATGTTGCTCGTCAAACAAAACGTTCGTCCATTCAACGGCCTCCTACAAAGCTTGAGTCACATGCTCTGCGGCGCCTGAAATTTTGGTTAAGAGACAACAGCAGCAATCCTTATCCTGATGCTGACACCAAACATGCATTGGCTCAAGAGTGTGGAATCACAGAGAAGCAGGTGAACACATGGTTCACGAATGCTAGAGCACGACAAAGATTTCTACGTCATGCAGAGAGTTCACACCCACACTCCAGAGAAGAAAGAGATCCAACGAACCGCTTCTCGAAGGTCAAAGTGCCGCAAACACCTGAAGGCTACCGAATTCTGGAGGAAATTCATCGTTCCGATCACAAATACGACCCCGAAAGACCAAAAGCATCTAGGCGAGGCAAAAAGAAAGATTACAGTCATTTAAGTACACTCTCTCCAGTTGCCAAAGTAATCCCAACCATGTCTTGTGCCCAAGCACAAGCAACGACCAAAGTCAAGGGCAGTACACCAAACATGTGGCAATGCACATTTTGTTATCAGATTGTAGCGCCAAAATCCTGGCGTCGTCATGAGGAGACTCAGCACCGACCGAAACGGAAGTGGACTTGTTTACACACTGGCCCGAGCTTTGACACTTCTTATTATCCCACTTCGTCCACATTGTGCGTTTTCTGCATGCTAAAGAACCCTAGCAAAGAGCATCTTCTCCACTCTCACCGTATCAGTGAATGTATTGCCAAGGCCGAAGAAGACAGAACATTCTTGCGACCAGATCATCTCCGGCAGCATGTGAAGAACTTTCACCAGTCATCTCTGGTTGATGCTGTTAGAGACTTGTGGAGAACAGATGGAGTACGCAAAGATGGCCCAGAAATTTGGACATGCGGTTTTTGCGCTCTTGAGATGACAGCATGGGATGCGAGACAAACTCACATTGCGGCACACTTCAAAGACGGTTTGACAATGGCAGACTGGAAATCACATCCTCAGCCTGAAAAGACAACTCACACAAGCAAGAAGCGACCAATGTCAAGTGAAGGACGGCCAAAGATGTTTTCCAAACTTGCCAGGAACTTTGCGGGTCTAAGCGCGCGACAAGAGCGGCAAGACATGTCCCAAAGCGAATTCGTATCAACTTTCGAGTCCACAACTGAGTACGTACAGCCAGGAGTACCAGTGGCACCTCTGTTGCCAGATTTAACCTTTGACAACTTTCCAACAGCTGTGTACAGCAGCGAGTTCAATTTTGGCAGCGCGAGTATGACGGATTCGTCTGAAGAAGAGACCGCATCAAAGGATTCAGACACGCTGTGCCCTGTTGGTGACCACGATTTGTGGCTTAACTACGAGGACTCGGGTAGTCTATCGTGCAAAGATGAGTATGATAATTTTCTTGATTTTTGGTAGCGATATATCTGGAGCCTAGCAACATATTCGAGTTCATTCGATATGCATGTTTCCGTGTCCGTTCTTTCAGACGCATAACCTTGACATTTCTGCAAGAAGCTGAGACATCAGGTTTCTGTCAGAAGACGTGATATCATTTAGGTTGCTAATTGGTGGGGTCAAGCTGCAAGGTGCCGGGACTGTACCTACGTCTTGGCTGCTAGCCTGACAGGTGATGGCGCAGGTAAAATTGCAGCACTTACCGAATACTGGGGCTGTACTTAGAGCGCGTTGTCGCTTACTACATAGTACAGCCCTACCCTCCTAATACTACAGCCAGCCCCATCAGCCTCGCTCAGCTGCTTCTCACCATCATCCTCCAGTCAATCTGCAAGCACCAATCACGCTATCTAGCAAGATAAGGAAAACTACAGTCATGATCAATGCAGAAGTAGAACACAGGGATGGTTTGTGTCCAGCATGCAGAGCGCTTGACAAGAAATTCAACACTACGCCCCAATCTGGAGATGAGCAGGTCATGTCCTTTTTCAAGGACTCCTTGTACCAAAACTGTGTGTCCTGCAAGACACTGTCTGATTACTTCCATTCCGATAAGCTTGTTGTTGCTCTTTTTCGTGATGGGTTAGGGAATGAGGAAACTCAATCAGAGTCTTCAGAAGAATTGATTGAGCCATGCGCCGAGACGTCAAACGCGAAACCTTTGAGCCAGATCCTTATGTGGGACTCGGCTAACCCAATACATGACCATACATTCCTCCCAGCGGAAAACCATATATCCAGGCGTGGCAAATCTGCGCCAGCGGACCTGATCCGAGCTAAGCAATGGCTCGAGAGTTGTAGATCAAACCATGCATCTGATGACGCAGGTGGAAGGACATGCACAGTTCAGCCAGTGAGGATGAAGGCGCCGCTGAGCATAATCGACTGCAGTACACTGCAGGTAAGAGAACTGATGCCTGGCGAGTCTTATGCGTGCCTAAGCTATGTCTGGGGTAACATAGCTCCTGCAGAAGTTGCATTCGGTTCGCAAATACACCCTGGAAGTCTTTCAAAGACTATTTCGGACGCCATGTATGTGGCTGAGCAGATTGGAATCCCCAGAATCTGGGTCGATCAGTCAGTAGCTTCCTCTATATCTTATTGACGTTGAACACTCGCTGATGAGGTTGTATCCTTAAAGATACTGCATTGTACAGCATGAATCCATCGCAAGGAATGAAGCGATTGCATCAATGAATCTGATATATGGCGGGGCAGAAGTCACTATTGTCGCAGCATCTGGCATAGATGCTTCGCATGGTCTATCCGGTGTTCTGGGAACAGATCGTTCAGACCTAATTCACACATCTGTTACTTTAGGGAGCCGACAATTTTTTGAAGAGCCCATCCAGAAACAGCTGGACCAATCGCGTTGGAACAGCAGAGGCTGGTAACGGACCATCGATCGTTCTCCAGTAGAGCAAATACTGATTTTGAAACAGGACCTTCCAAGAAGCTGTGTTGTCTGCACGTGTCCTCGTGTTCACTGAAAGACAGATGTATTTCCAATGCAACAAAGCTCATCATCTCGAGCACTACGGAAACGAAGACCCATTAAGCGGCCAACGAATATTTCCCTTTATAGGAACCGATCTTCGGCCTCTAGTAACCTTCTCACTCCTAATAGAGTACTTTTGTAAGGAACTTTCATTCGCCAAGGACAGTCTCAAAGCGGTAGAGGGAATCTTGGAAGCCTGCGGTAAAGATCGATCGACGCCATATCACTCCAGACACTTTTACGGCATTCCTTTGATATATTTTACGGATGTCATCAATGACAAAATATACTTCTTGGCGCAGGGTCTAGTTTGGTGGACCTCGCATCAGAGTACGGACACTGGAGTCGAAGAATCCCTCGCTCCTGACGATTGTGGACTACCATCATGGACTTGGGCATCTCAAAAGTCGAGACCTAAATCTTCTACCACGAAACTGAATTTCTGCGACCTTAACGCATCATGGCTTAATTTTCAAGAGCTGAAGTGCCACATCACGAACCGTGATGGGAAAAATATCGATGTCTTCGAATTTGTCACGTCATCTCTTCCAGAACATTATTCAAATTACTTCCCTTGGATTGATATCACTTCTTGGATCGTTCGGAGTCAGATCACTACGTCGGATCTAGGAGATTCCAAGAATACTGTCTTTGGTGGCATGGAAAACGCGAGCTTCAAATTTGACGAAGGCATTCCACAGAATGACGAGACGATTACGGCAATATTTATAGCTACCGGTGAAGCCTGGACGCAGAGCACAGATTCAGATGGTGGTCTTGTCTTCCTTCTTATACGTCCAACTACGCCAAATACATTTTCTCGCATCGGGATATGGCATCTGTGTGAGGAAGCCAAGTCTCTTTCCCTCGACGAGGTAGTGGCAGATCCAGAGCCTACACTTCTCGAAAGATTTACGGAAGACCCAGAGAGATACTTGGAATTGTGTGGGTTGAGCCACGGTGCTGTAGTAGAGAAAAAGACTGTGAGGCTGGTTTGAATAGACTTCGATATGTCTATGGACTTCCGGAACTGAGAAGGCCTTAATATATCACCATATCCCTTCAAAGTGTATGGCAGCCAAGAACAATTCTCGAGAAGCACGCTTCTCAAAGATGTTAATGCGGGTTTGAAATAAATCTGGGTTACGCCTAAACTGTAAAAAGGCTTCAGTCTTCAAGAACAGCGTTGTTGTAGCTTCAGGATATACCAGATATTCCTTTTACCAAATCGAGCATACTCATCATACGGTGCACAGGACCTCCGTAAAGTCTTGATTGGGGCCTTCCAAATATACGTCATGACTCAGACAACAAAATCAGCCAATACACGAATTTTTTTTGGACACAGTGCCCGTTGAACACAAGCTATCCGCGCAAGAGTGAGCACCCCCACGAAAGAGTGGGATGGCTGCTCAAGATTTTCCGTCCATGCATGCAAGAACATGATCATCACCGGGTGAGACCAACCAGTTCATGAACTGCTTAACGAATCAAAAGCACGAGGTGACCTCCCGTGCTATATTGGCGGAACCAGTATCGTGGGTCCGTGATGCAGACTCACAAGTCGGGCACAATACTACCCCTCACTGCCCCGCTGTTCGTGAGTGCGTATGCGTGTGCAATTGGGCAATTTGCATGTCATTAAGCTCAACAAAAAAAAACTCCAAGAGTGCATAAAAGGATGAAAGAATTACTGCAGAGACTGTCTCTGACCTCAACTCTAACATACCATTTCCAACAATCCATAGCTACGACACCATTCTATTGGTACGATGCCACCATCGAACCAGCACCGCGGCACCCCTGGGGTCTCGCTCCTCGCACCTTAGGATATTCTCTCGGTCAAGTAAAACAGATGCTTCTACTGTGCATCATCAGGTACCCATCTCAATCCATCAGAAGCAAAGCATGGCGGGTGTTCAAGTCATCGGTGATTGATACATCGTATTGATTGCTTGTGGCTTGTTCTGAGATTATACCGTTTAAACTTGATCTGGATAATTCCAGCGCGAAGGACTGTTGCTGCTTCATGATGTCCTATTTCCCACGGTGGTGTTGGGATTGCTGACTAGCGTAGAAGAACATTGTATCGGTAACCCAAAGTCAAGATGTCGACGGATAAGATTACCTTCTTGACCAACTGGTGCGCTAAATATCTAGCTTTTGCTATGGGAAAATGTGATGCTAAAGGATAGGTCAGGCACGCTACGCCATACCATGCGCCTGTGTACCTTGCTCAAAGCAAGGGATACTTCAAAGATGAAGGCATCAAAGTTGCTCTCCTTGAGCCCAACGATCCGAGCGTAGGATAACCACTACGTATCCCATTCTGCCTTAGCCATCTAATGTAGAAAACAGGACGTCACCGAAATCATCGGATCAGGAAAAGTCGATCTAGGCTTCAAAGCCATGATCCACACGCTCGCCGCAGCCGCACGAGGGTTCCCCGTCCAATCCATCGGCTCTCTGCTTAACGAGCCCTTCACTGGAGTGGTCTACTTGACATCTTCAGGAATAACCAGCGACTTCAGCACGCTCAAGGGCAAGAAGATCGGCTACGTAGGCGAATTCGGTAAAATTCAGCTCGACGAGCTCACAGCCCATTACGGCATGTCGCCCAGCGACTACCAAGCCGTGCGCGTGGGCATGAACGTAACGCGGTCCATCATCACGGGCGAAATCGACGCAGGCATCGGTCTCGAGAATGTGCAAATGGTAGAGCTAGAAGAATGGCTAGTGTTGCAGAAGCGAGCCCGCGACGAAGTCCAGATGCTGCGTATCGACGAGCTCGCCCAGCTGGGCTGCTGCTGCTTCTGCTCCATCTTGTACATTGGCAACAATGCTTTCATCGAGCGCCACCCCGATGCCGTCCGCGCTTTTCTCCGCGCATGCAAGCGCGCAACGGACTTTGTGCTTGCGCAGCCAGAGCAAGCGTGGGCTGAGTTTTGTGCTGCGAAGACGGCCATGGATACGCCGACCAACCGCAAGATTTTCGAGCGCAGCTTTGCGTACTTTAGCCCAGACTTGCAGAATGTGCAGCGTGATTGGGAAAAGGTTACCCGATATGGGAAGAGGCTTGGTGTGCTTAATGAAGCGTTTACGCCAAACTATACAAATGAGTATCTGGCTTGGGGCCTGCAAGCTGAGGCTGAGGATCCAGTGGGCGACCAGAAGAAGATGGTTGAGTTGCAGGAAGGTGTCAAGCAGAATGGCGGGTTCAAGCGTCTGGAGAGCATGGCTGGCAAGACGGTAGTTGGGGCTGCAGCTCCGGCTTCTGCCTGAGCAAATAAGCCGGCATTAGTCTATTTGGGTTGGTCTGGCACTTCACTCTTTTGCATCTTTCATCGTCAGCGAGAAGATCAATGATGCTACTGCAAATTAGTCCGTCGTTGCCAACATAGTCACTCATTTTCTTCACTCCTTCTCAAAAGAGACGCCATGATTTTACATAATCGAAAGTGCGTGCCTGCTACAGTTGGACGTGCGTCCGCTTACTTCGTGAAGTCAACCCATTACCTCTAAACTATGCACAGTAAAGACAGAATGAGGAGATAGCAGGTAGAGATTGAGTGTAGAGATGAGAATCCAGTCTTACATCTCGTCCTATATACCCTTGGACGAGGAGTCTAGAGGGCGTCCCTCTGACACTTCTGGCTCTGGCTCTGCCGCGTCTGGCATATCCGATGACGGGGTTGTTTTTATGTCCTCTTCTCCCTGTTGCACTTCTACTGCAGCGGCATTGTCCGCTGAGACGTCATCTTTTATGGAGCTTGCCTCCCCTATCACTTTGTCCTCTGGTGCACTGGGATACTCCGCAATGCGTTCTTGCAAACCCTTCTTTATCATCTCCTCGCCTACATCGTTCGCTGCATTGGACGCTTCGCCCAAAATCCCCGATCGCCGCATTTTTCGTGCACTCTCAGGATACCTCGGGCGCACCTGTCTAGACACGGGCGACGTCTGCGCGCTCGCATCTGTTATCAAATCGGCGATATCATAGCATCTCTTGACAAACGCCTTGACAGCTGCCTCATCACGTAACTGCATGTCACTGTGATCGTCGTAGTACGCCATCAGTTCGCCACCCTTTGCGTTTAGTTTGCTCGATTGATTGGCACTGAAGGCGATATTTTCACCCAATAGACTGCCCGACACAGCCTGTCGGAACTCCACACCAGAAAAGTGATATTTGATCTGAGCCATGCCCTTTTCTTCAATCGAGCAGCCAGGGATGGTCCACTTGGGAATGTCTATGCTAAGCGGCGGCGCGACAATGCGTCCGCCACTCGAAATGCTTTTTGCGGCGGCGCCAACCCATTTATGTAAGTTGGCATCATTGTGATCATTGGTCATTCTCAAATTCCCGTACTGGTAGAACTGAAGGTCGGCCGCTTTATTGGGGAGCGACACTGTATGTATATGCTGCCAAAACCTCAAGCTTGTTCTGCGGAAATAAGCTTTGGCACCGTGGCGATCTGTACCCATCTTGATCTGGATAGTGGGAAACAATTGGCTGGGATCAAAGCCTTCCTGCTCAGGGTCGGGTCGGAAATGGTAGTGTAAGGTCGGAACGTGCAGGCGCGTAGTAACGGAGATATCTGGTGATGTAAAAAGAGTAGAAAGCCCGGGAAAAGTAGACACAAAGTGGGTTTGGGAGAATTGCTCGGGCGTATCAGCCTCTGCCTTCGCGGGATTCGCATGTTCTAGAGGCACCAAGGATTGACCAAATTTGACATAGAACTTTCGTCGCGGTTCAGCAACCCAGCTGCCTAGCTCTTCCAAGTGAGGAAATTCTTTGGAAGCAGCCCGAAGTATCATGGCTGCAGTCCTCTCCACTAGGCCTTGAACCATTGCTTTGGATGACTTGGGGGCCTCCACTGACTCTTCTGTATCTTCTATAGATTCGGGCCCAGAGATTCGTGGGAGAGGCACTGATAAGCGTCCAAGCGGAGCATTACGATTCCGGTAGCTCAACAGGCTTTCGTCCACGTACACGGGTGCGGGGTAAATTGAAGTTGCTGCAGGGCCCAGGTTCAGCATATCCGAAGTGCGGGTGATGCTGTCCCTCAAAGGCAGAAGGTTGATCAAAGATCGTTTTGCTTCTTCAACAGATGCATTATTGAATCCTCTGATTGTGAACTACTCAGAATTAGCGAGTGTAGGTACCAATGTCAAGGGACGACTTGCCAAGTTCCTTGTAGTGCCTGCTATACTTGTCTTGGTGAGTGCTGATACGACATCCCGGTCTTTTTGTTTAAAGAGCGTGGTTAGATCTAGTTGTTGGTCCTGCGGTATCATATCAGGCTCCAGTAGACACATGTAATTTTTAAGGTTCATCCGTTTGACCTCTGTACGTTGCAAAGCTTCTTCTACGTCATTGGCAGCGTACTCTGCTGTACTTTTGTCGGCGGTTATACGAAGAATTTCATGGTGCTTGTAGATTTGGAATTTGACCTTTCTGATCCGTGCGATTTCATCGAGTACATTGTGCTCTTCAACAAGAGTTAGTGGGTTATGTGAAGGTGATACAAGCTGAAAACTAACCTCCAACAGTGAGTAGTGTCATCTGCCACGGCTTCACGAAGAGTTCGAGCTCGCCAGGCTTCTCGATTTCTTCAAGAAGTACGAGGTTCCACTGGTCGCGGAGGATACGGTCTACAAGCAGCTGCTTGCTGACGTTCTTGCGCCATCCCATGATTTTGACATGGCGGTCGACTCCAGGCAAACGTTGTGTGATGCTTGTAGTGCCTGGTTGCCACTCAGAGCGCTCCACCGGGCGCTTGGGGTCATCCCCGTCTCGCTTTAGGCTATCGATGACGCCTTGGTTGACCTGCCCCCGTTTGATATTCTTTGCAACCGAGTAGAAGGTCATCAACTGTTGCTGGGTGAAGCCGTTCATGAGAAGATTTTTCAACTTGAGAAACGTGGCCTGCTTGACATAGTGTGGCTCATTGGGATCGCCATGTTGTGTTGGACGCAGACTGCCAATTTGTTGGTA